AACCGACCACCACTCGTTGTGTTGGCTTGTCAACCTTCGTGACCCTTGTGGCCGCCTTGCGCGCTGGGCCCTCCAGCTACAAGAATACAGTTTTACCGTCGCTTACAAGAGTGGTCGTCGACGTGCTGACGCGGACTGTCTTTCTCGTATGCCACTTAGCACAACGGACTGTGAATCCGATGACCTTGACCAGCTTGTAGCGTCTGTGTCGCCTACGTTCCCAGACTATCCCAGTTTCAGAGCGGAACAGCAGAAGGACGCTAAACTAGCACCACTATTCGCCGCTGCATCCGCTTCCAGTAGTGCATGCCGTTTCTGTATGCGTGATGGACTGTTGTTCAAAAGGAACCTCTCCAGCAGTGGCGCACGTTTCCTTCTAGTGGTCCCGGAGAGCCTGCGGACCGTTATTATGAGTGTCATGCACGACGACTTTACATCTGGACATTTAGGTTTGGCGCGGACGCTTCACTGGACTAAAGAGCGCTTTTATTGGCCTGGTATGCAAAAGTCCATTGAGAGTTATGTGGCAAGCTGCATGCAATGCCAGCGTCACAAACGTCCATCAACTGGTCCAGCTGGTCTTCTACAACCGATGCCTACTCCAAGCGCACCTTTCGAACAAGTGGGGATTGACTTTCTGGGCCCCTTTCCAAAATCAGCTAAGGGCAACCGATGGATAATTGTTTGCGTCGACTACCACACACGCTACTGCGAGACGGCGGCCGTCCCCTCCGCAACTGCCAGTGAAGTCTCGTCGTTTTTGTTACAGTACGTCATCCTCCGACACGGCCCACCTCGCCTGATTATCAGCGATCGTGGCCGACAATTCACAGCGGGTGTCGTGGAGGAGCTACTCCGTTTATGTGAATCCCGCCTGCGTCACTCGACACCATACCAACCCCAAACTAATGGGCTGACGGAGCGTACCAACCGCACCATTGTCAACATGTTGTCTATGTATGTCTCATGCGACCACAAGAACTGGGATGACGTACTTCCGTTCATTACTTACGCGTTCAACACCGCGAAGCATGAGATTACAGGCTATAGCCATTTCTTTTTGCTTTATGCACGTTCGCCCCGGCACACAATCGACACAATATTGCCTTTCTGTGACCACGACAACGTCACTGTCGCCGAGACTCTCTGCCTCGCCGAAGAGGCGCGTCGCATAGCTCGACTACGCACATTGGCGTCGCAAGACAAAGCTAAGGCACGCTATGACATTCATCATCGACCAGTGATTTATCGCCGTGGTGATCTGGTGTGGTTGTGGACTCCGATGCGCAAGCGCAGGTTATGCCAAAAGTTTTTGGCCACTTACGATGGACCTTTTGTCATTGTCGACAGACTTACAGAGGTCAACTATGTAATAGCTCGTCTCACAGCGAGTGGTCGACGAGCTGCCAAAACTCAAGTGGTTCATGTTGCCCGCCTGAAACTTTACACGCCACGACAACTTGACTGACTCGTCCGGCGGCCTTCGTCTGCGCGGAGAGGAATGTGGCGTACATGCACGAAGACGAAGAAGCGTATACGGGGAACGCGCTCGTCGCCCAGAGCGAGAGAGGAAGAAGAGGATCAGGAGGATCTTTAACCAGTCGGCCGCTTCTGAGCTGCCTCTAACGACCTAATAAACGGCCCCTTTCAACGTCTACCAGTCTCTTTCAAACGTAACAATATATATATGTGCGCTTTTACGAATAAATTTAGTTGATAGTTTGCGCTTGTCCTTATTTCGTGCTTTTTCACGCCATAAGCTCGCTAAGAATGAACCAACTCGCCCAACAAGTCACTACGCTCAAAACTTGGAATGAGCCACAACTTCACTCAGCTCAAACGATAGTGCCACCAGGTACCGACACTACACAGTGACAAGCCCACACAGAACTACAGCCACGTGCAGCTGTGGGCACATGGGCCAACAATAACGAACCTACGCCGTCCATGCATTGCATTGTATTGGATTGGTTCTGTCTACGAATGACACGAGAGACGGCAGCCTATCTGTCACCTGGTGTTGCTGAAAAATCTCCTTGACGGTGGCCTCCGAGATAAAGCAGCGCATTGCCAGGTAATCTCTCGGAGGCTATGTGTAGCAGCTTTGGGGCAGTTCTACTCATTTGTAGCATGGATGTAGCAGCGTTCACGAAATGTAGCAGGTTGGAGCAATGGTGCTCATTTGTAGCATAGATGTAGCAGCTTTGATAAAACGTAACAGCTTGGAGCAATCGTAGCAGCTTTCCCATCACTGTCAAAGCTCGTGTTGTGTGTTAACTCTACTCGTCCAATTCCTGCGCCGTTTTAATGCACAAAAGTACTCCACATGAAGCATAAGAGAGCTGTGGAATAAAATTCTGCAAAAAAAAAACATTCCTGTTGCCTAAGTGCACGGGACTTAAAATTGAATTGAAGCATGAAGATAATATGCAATGCTTATTTATCAGCAATTACTAAAACACCAATAACTGAAAAAAACATGGCATAAATATGCATTGAACGATAGTGTGCATTTAGAGCAAAGTTCAGTGCAATGTAACAATGACATATCAGTGATGCTTTACTTTTAAAATAAGCATAAGCATAAGTAATAAGTAGAGATGTAGGAAGAGTAAATTTTAGGTTAAAGGTGAATTCAAAGCAAATACTAATTTGGTTGAAAAACTTGAAATAAAATATCTCAAGTAGTATCAGCAAAACCTCATTAACTCGAAGTCACTAGGGCCACGAGAAATCTTCGAATGACGCAGATTTCCAACTTAACAGTAAAATGTGTCTTGTTTTCTGCCGGCATACATTTCGGTTGCCACGACTCCCCCCCCCCCCCCCTCCTTTTTTTCCCTTTTTTTTTGTGCTGGAAGTAGCAAGGTTCGGGTGCTTCAGCTGCCAGTTAGTATCACTACATTGCACTGCCTTGTGACTCTTAACGGTTGTTGCTTTCATGGATTTGCGGGGAAATCAGGATCGGGAATCGGCACAGCACCCAAAGTTTTGGAATTAACCGGACTGGTGCTGACTGCCACTTCAAATTATTCGCTCAAACTTACATCGTACAATACTGAACCATGAAAATGTTTTAATTGAGCAAATTTTAGAATAACCCACTCTGGACTAATAAGATTTTACTGCATATAACACACAAAGAAAAATTACCGTTTTTGTCATGACCTAATTATTAGGAAATAGAACTAAGCTAAGTTAGGAACTGATCTAACTACTAAGTACTAGAACTAGACTTGTGCAAATGTCACTTTATCGTTCAAGGCAAACTGGAATCAATAATAAATAATAGCAGCATTTGAATTCTGATATATAGAGCAATTAGAAAGCGGTAAAATATGTAGAGTAAGAGAACTATACAGGTTGCCACAAAATATACACTTGCTGAAGACCTTCTTTACCCCCCACATCTAAGCTTATCGACAAGCATGGCAAACAAAAGGCGTAATAAAACTAGGAGCTGAAAGTGTTAGAGCCGATGAGTTCCGGAGATTAAGTGTGAATATAAAGGCACACAGCATCTTCGGACTGCTTAAGAAGTTACCTGACAATTTTCTATACACAACTGATTCTGGACAAGCAATTTGATTTTCGTACAAAGTTTTTTAGAAAAATAGGCCGTAAACACAAAGCGCATATGAGGAGCTTGCGCTACAGTTCGTTTTCACTCAATGCTTCCTTTCAGAAAAAGTGGCTTTTAGCCATAAAAAATGCTGTTTAAGAAAAGTACGAATGCAACAATTATGCACAAAAAAACACTCTTTCAAAATTGGAAAGAAAAGAAAAGTTTTTTTTTTCCTTCAAACTTTTCCTACCCTGTGCCCTTAACTAAAACTTTCACACGTACATTGGTTGTAACAGCTGTCCGAACTCGTGGCAGAAAATGGTGTGCAAGAAAAAGGAGGGATATGAGTATTGTTAGTAAACCCAACGCAAGCCGATACAAGAACATGCTTTGCATTCTTGATGGATTGTAAAAAAAATTTTACTACTGTGTACAAGACGAGTGCTCTATCTAAACCAACTGTCAGTGATAATATATTTTGGTGTGTTGTCCTCATGAGAACAAAATTAATGGTGTAAAATATTTCGGAATTTCATGACCATACTGGCAAAGTGTTTCAAGCCCCTAAACTTGTACAAATTGTATTGCTGTAAGCAAACAGACAGCTGCAGTAAAACTAGATCCTCGCAATAGTGACCAGCAATATCCATTTAATGAATTAAGAGGCCTGCAGTCTGTTACTATCAACACTTCTAAAAACATCACCTTGGTCACTGCTTACGGTGATCTCCTGTAAACAGGGAAACCAGAAAGTTGAATCCAAAAATTTACAGTAGGAGAGATTGAATAGAATGAATAAAATGACATAAGCGTCAACGCGATAACGCTGAAGAGCTCATTTCGCAAAAATTCTGGGCTCGATGTCATTGATTGTAAGGAAAAAATCATCATCTTCGTGTGACTGAAAAATTAAGCATCTTTCGATGACTTAAAATTCAAGAAAAATGCAAATAAAAAATTCTGTGTTTAAGTGGGGATCAAATCCGGGTCATTTGTCTGGCTAACGAGTGTTCTACCACCTAGCCATGCCTCTGCTTGTGAATACAGTGAAAATAACTTCCTCTGCTTGGAAATACAGTGAAAGTAACTTTCATGCTTTAGAAACACATCTGTACTGAATACATGCTTCACAATACAACATGAAATATTGCAGTAATAATGCGTGGTACAAGTGCAGATGACCATCGGGCATCAGAACATGGTATTATCATAACGACTTCACAGTTTAAAGCCAGTCACCCTCTACAAAAGGCGCACATCATACTGCACCCGTAAGGCCACGTAGTGGGTGCATAGCAAGTTTGAAAATATTTCATACACAAAGTGTTTGAAGTACGCACTTGTAACAGAATATCGTTATCATGTTAAACTTTTATTGGCTAAACTTAAGAGCAACGCAATTTTTTTTAACCTCAGTAACAAACACCCTACTTACTTTAAGTGTTGAAAGCCAGGAGACAATTGCATCGCGAAAATCTTGTTCGCCTTGCCTTGGCTTTATGGGCCACACATTCCTGCAGAGTTGTGTACAGAAAAAAAAAACACATTTTTGTTCAGATCTTACCATTAACACACACTCTTGGAAACAAGTCTTGACTTGGTTTAGATTCAACAATATAGTACAAGGAGTCTTGTGAATAGGGCTGAAAGCTTCTACAAGCTATACCGATTATTTAAGTGAACCTTAATTATTCGTCTAAAGCCGATACCACGTCATGTCATGAGCTGGCAGACAAAAAAAATGATATCAGCTATTTCACTTTAATTGGCACATAGGTACGTACAGATAACTATTTTCCCATTTTGGTGTTTTTGGTAAACCACATCACATACATCTCAGAAGAATTTCAAAGTACTCTAAGAGAAAGCTCAAATATCGAAGTCAATACAACAGAGCCTCATTGGTACATTTTCACGTAATAAAGATTTTCCGTCTCTTACAATGATCGCAAAAACTAAATTAAGCCAATTCGGATCGTGCGTTTTCCTGGATCATACGTTCGTTTCCCGTGTTGTTGTTTTTTTTTTTAAAGTATCAACGAGGTTTTATTGTATATACCAAGCTTTATTATCTTTAATTTGTCTGCTGCAAGAATGCCTGAAATAGATATTTTGCACTAGTTAACATGCTTGCAATTTTTTCTCCAGAAGTCCTGAGACTGTAAAGGAAAATAAAATACGGTTGAATTTCAATGTAACAAAACTACAACTGGGCTCGAATTATTTTGTTAAATCAGAAAGTTTATAAAATTGACAACAAAATTGTTTGGGCCTCCGATATTTCAAATATTAATTTACTGATACCCAAAAACTAACTACAGCAGTATTGCCGCTAACCCACGCCTGCATCACTAGGGCAGTGTGAGTGCGGCTAAGGACCTGGTGCCCCCTATGTCCTATGCAGGCCTTATAGATGACCACGTGAAGGTATGACATACTATTGATATACAAAGATGCAAAGAACAAATGCACAGAGAGTATGTGTACAGACCGAGTGAGAAAAAAGCGAAGTGTTAATTAGTGCTATATTTGACATAAACCATGAAATAACGGGGGGAAAAAACACTCCCTTAGCAACATCCAGAATGTAAGAGTGCTACAGACTTCAGGGTCTGTTGTTACGCGCTTGGTTGCAGTGTGAATCATCACCAAATTAAAGGGACACTAAAGACAACTATTAAGTTGATGTGGATTGTTGAAATAGCCGTCCAGAAATCTCGTAGTGCTACTTTTGTGACAAGGAAATGCTTATTTTGAAATAAGACCATGTTTTAGTGGTCTGCATCGCCTTCGCACACTTCGAGTTACCCGCCTCAAGATGAAAACTTTCATGCCACTGTTGCCGTGTGCAACACTGCCCGACTTTACTGCGCGGCCGCCGACGCTAGCAGCAGCAGAGCAATAGTATCGGGAGCCACAGCAGCAACAACAGCCATTGAACAATGGCCTCCGAAATGGCAGGCATGCTTGGTTCAACTGGGCACCACTATATGGCACGACCTATTCACTTTAACTAGGCGAAAATCTTTGGAACTACTAGTGTCATTCCCCACAGTAATGTCCGGCACTTTTTTTTTCTATGAATCAGACAGAAACAAATAAGCAGCATTTTATTACGTCGCTTTATTCACGGAATCGTCATTGTTTAGTACAGTCGGTTACATTATTAGTGATTAATTGTAGACGGTAACTCTGACGTACGGGACCATTTTGCAAATGTCCTACTCGTGGCGCATGTGTTCTCATGCATTTTAACTTAATTTCTCGGTAAATAGGGCACAGTTGTTGATAGTATTGTCATTTTGAACATCCTCATACATTGTGCTTTCTCTCTGGCATAAACTGTTATTTGCCTTTAGTGTCCCTTTAAAGTTATGATCGTGACTAGGGTGCCTCAATGTTTTCACACGATAGGTTTAGAAGTAACGTTTCACGAAAATTTCTTCAAATCACATTAGGTGGCTCAGTTCATTAATTCAGGAAGACAAGAACACTGAACCTTGTGGGCATTAACTGGGTATTAGAAATTTTTTTTTGTTAGACCAGAAATTTCTTAAAATCTGGTTTCATTATATCAAGCTTCAACTGTACTGGTAAGGCCCCATTACATTTGCTTTTTGATTGGAATAAATATTGTAACCAAGATATGAACAGTTCCTTCGTGAGGTATAGGTGGCAAATAATGTCTGATTGTGCAAACCAAATAAGCAGCTGCACAAAATAACTATCACACTATATGCTTATCTTACAAATTTAGCTGAAGTCATGCATCTCATGATACAAAGGAACAACTGATGTCAAGTGTGTGAGGAACAAAGTTCTGTGTTCAGTCACTTACAACATTTGTACCCTGCACATATAATATGTAAATCTGTAAGGTAATAAAATGCAACTAATTGCATTTTAAATATATCTATTTAATGTAGGCTTGCAAGAGCAAGTTTATTGAATATGTGGAGGGAAGAACCTCTATACACATAAGGAAAACATGCATTGCAGATCAAAACATTCTAATTACTAAATGAACATTTTTCTTATCAGCCATTATTATTCGTATTATTTAGTCTTTATATTTCGGTGCATGAGCATAATTTCAAGCAAACATTATATCTTTGATCATATGGTCACTTGCTGAAGTTAGCTTGCAAATTACGAGAAAGAGAGAATAAATTGAGAGAAAGGCTTGGAGGTTAACCAGAATTGTAGCATCAGGTTTCCTACCCTGCACTAAAGAGAGGGGGATGGGAAAGTAAAGAAAAACATTTTACTTCATAAATTTCCGTGCTTCCTTCTTGTCATAGGCACTTAATAAACCATAAATCACCTCCCGGACGGTGACAGAAGTGTGCTTGCCGAAGAAATCATTCCTGGTTAAAAAAGAAGAAATAATAAAAATAACAATGAGTTGTTCACATTGCTGTGCAAATCAGTTTTCTTGAAAAGTAAAGCAGCCAGCAATTACATAAGAGTGCACTCATGTTATTTGCATATATAAAGTGCAGCAACATTTCAGGCAATGCAGCTTGGCAGTAATTAAATTTCAGGATCAGTGTCAAGTGATTCTGAACTTATGCTGTCATTTCATCTATGTCAAGAATGCATTAGTATACAAGAAACAAATAAAGAAGGACAAGAAGAAAATCGTGTAATAAAAGATGCCATTCACAGACAGCTAGTTTTAGTTACTTCATTTTGTTGCATAGCAAGAAATTTTAAGCTTTTAAGCATGCAATCTGAGTTAAACATCATATAGATCTTGCTTTAGCATGATTGAAAACAAATAGTTCAAGCTGATACCGCATGTCTTGCTATGTAAGCTGTGTTTTCAGAGCATACTTAAACTGCTCACTTCAAAGCACAAGCTAGTTGTACAATAGTAGCCTCTGCACATGAGAGAATACTAGATTAGTAGAAGGAAGCTTAAGTCAGAAATGGTTTTCTTACTTCAGAACTGTTTTATTGCCTAGTATATTACTTATAAAGACAATTGCGCCCTTTCATCTATTTAGTGCACAACGTGAACACTAGTTGACGAACTAGCTTTACATAGTAAGTAACCGTAGCATTTTAAGGCATTAAAAAAAAGGCAATGAGTGTGGGTCTCTGTGGATACTAAGTGATAAGCTTATAGCGAATCACAGGTCAATCAAGCTATTGAAGTTCACAAGATCCAAGTTAGTTAAAAATCATAAAGAAATGTGCATTCTTTAGTGGAATTAAGCAGAATTAACCATTATATTCCACATAAACTACAGTCTTCCTAGCCTGTGAAGAAATGGTTACACATTGTGAGTGATGCAATATTACACAGCTAAGAAATCCCGATATTAGTTTTCAACACGTACAGTATAGTATCCACACAATGTACACAAGTAAAAAAACAAATATGGCTAGTACCAAATACAGACATTGCCAAGAAGTACATGGTAGTCTTAGTACAAAATAGAATGATTGCAAAGCAATGCTATTTGCTAGTTGTCAGTTCTCAAGATAAATGCCATGGTGAGTTTGAGCACATCAGAAATCAGGTGCTCACACAAAGTATGCAGTTCCACTTGAAGATTTTATGTTCAAAAGCTCCAAATTTTTCAGCAGGAGGAAAATCTGTAATGCAATAATTGTGAATTGTAAATCCTCCTTATAATGAGTTATATGCCAGGACAAATGAATAGAGTTAGTATCTGTTTTATACGAAAAAAGAAGTAGATGTGTGTGTTGGACAAAAAAAGGATCTTCAAGCATCGATTTTTCTGTGTTCTGAATACAGCATATTGGTGATGAGGTTTCAATTCATGCAGTTTCCTGGCAGTTTCTCTGCATTACACGTTCTGGGACTGCCACCCCTCCACCATAGTTGTGAAGATTGGCAAGCTATATTATCTAAATGTGTTGCATTGCCGCTGCATTTGGCGGCGACTTAACAAAATGGAGGGCTGCACTGACATACAGCATGTGTATTATCTCTTCATTTTAGCTATAAGTCTAAAATAAGTTAAATATGAATCTTCATATTCACAACTTGTTAGATAGCAGTAACACATCTATATCCTTCTTGATGTAGTCACTTTAAAGTAAGTGGCGATTCCCAAGTGGCTTTGAGTATCAAGCTAATCAAGTGCGATTGAACACCAGCCCAATGTGATGATTGTCTTGAACAGACAGAACAGGCAGCTACTTTTTGATGAGCAAACACTGTTGCCATCATAAACACTACTGTCAATGATGTCTAACTTATGTTCTCATCAGAATATTTATGGGAAGCAAGGACATTATGAATTAAACCACTATTTCAGAGAAGAGGTCAGTTCTCGGCAGCAGTATGGGATCATGTAGGGAAGGAGTCAAGAATGAGGCGTAAAGAGATTGTAGGATGAACAGCATTAGCATTTAACTAGCATCAGCCCTTGCTACTTCATTGTGTACATAGTACTGTGTTTGCTTTGGTAAAGCTTTAATACAGTTGAATGCCCAGCTCCTTTTACACAGCTTAAAATAGGCCATTTTGACTAGCATAATTTGTTAGTGCTTTTTGTGCTTCACCTATTGTACATTCCCTTAGGTTATGACATCATTGCGTAGCAGATATTGGATATTTGATATCTTTTGCGAGAAAGCTGAGTGGCTCCAAATGTGGCATTATTCCTGCTCTGAAAGTCAGGGAATCGAGAAGTGTGTGAATTAACATGTCTGACTCCAACATATTTGTCCAGTACAGTCTGTTTCACACTTGGGGAAAATCTCATGGTATCGCGATGCGACCAGTGCTGCACTTGCACGCTGGCAGCGGCTCGCGCGTGCACAGGCGCTTGAGGAGCGTGGTGTTGAACCGCATCATCTGCGATGGCGGTGCATGCTGGCCACATTGTTGGGCAGCCTGTTGCACTCTGGCTAGGCTTATATTCTGTACTAAACATTGTGCCATGTCAACCCATCAGTCTTCATAGGCGATTATGGGGTTCTGGAAACAGTGTTTGACATCATACCTTCTTTGCTCCTCTAAAACGCGGAGGCACTGAGTGCATTCTTGCATATTTGTTCTTTTGTGTGTGCACTGCAGCGCAGTACATTGCGACGGGGAAGACCATAATGAGCACGTAGCATGCGTGGTATTTATTTCACACTAAAGAAAAAGGAAGCACTCTACAGCCACTGCCAGGCATATATCCTGGTTCAACATAACAAAATAAATGAGAAAGAGTTCAGGAATTCTGTTGGTCAAGATGACCTGAACGTGCTTCTTCTCGATAGCGTTTCATTACAGAAAGCAGCACTCACTCACTGGCCCTGAAATGCATGTGTGAAGCTTCCAACTGCACTTCATACCCTGTAATGTGCCCAGCGGCACTTATGACAGGGCTAATTTGGATGGCAGTGACGGGATGAAATGCCAACACATGTTGGCATTGCCGACGACGTGTTTCAATCGTTCAGCAATATGCTCCTCAAGCGTCTGCGCACGCGCCAGCTGCTTCTGGCGCATGAATGCCGCGCTGGCTACATCATGGCCGCATCGTGATGCCATGTGCTAAGAGATTTCCCTTAAGTCTGGAACAGACTGAACATGTGATGTATGCTGCATTGGCTATAACTTTGCTCATAAACACTTCTGCTGGTGACAAGGCTTTTTCATGACTTTGATGTATCAATGCTCTGCTAGGAGCCTACAACCCACAATTTTAGGTAGGAATTTAGGACTACTAGGTTTGTTGAATGAGGTTCGGGGTGTTACATGAGAAGTCAAGCCCATCCACTCATGCGGAGACCACATAAGTGGATTTTGTTACCTCATCCGTGCCTGCGTGTGCTGGTGTCCACAGAATTTCTACAATGATTCCACAGTCTTGCAATCTATTTAATTTAACTTTTTTTTATTAATATCACTGGTCAACACATATTCACAATTGTGGGTGCTGTAAATTGGGCGACCACTTAATATGAATCGGTGACTATGCGAAAGCTATTTTAAGGACTCTCGTGTACAATGTTTTCTGTGTAAATCGGAATAGTGTTGACAGCTCCCCATACGGCCAATGGCTCTGCATGTAAGGGTGCACCACTGCAAAGCTAGAAAGTGTGATAGCCAAATGGCAAAGTTGCCAAAAAACAACGAAATGTAACAGTGTTAACAATCACTAGAATTGTCTAAATATTGCTGTCATAACTATTACATGCAAACATATTATGTCACTGCTATGTATAAAATCATTTTTGCAAGCACTAGGTAGAAATGATGAAATGGATGTACTTTATACCAATTTCTACTGTTGAGAAGCTCTAAACAAGGTTATCCATTCAGATGCATAAAGTAGAAGCTCAAACATTTTCTTTAACAAGAGGGACCATTGCCAAGAGATGATACTTTTAGCCCTATTTTATGATATGTCATGTAAATGTCCTCCAGGTAGGCAGTCCTTAGTCCAAAGACAATTGCAATGTTTCTTTCTGACAGTAAGCCTGTACTTGTTGCTTATCAGAGGCGCTGACCTCAGACAAGTGACAAGTTGCAGTGTCTCGCATTCAACTTAGTGATGTTGACCAAATCAGGGAAATGCAATCAGTTATTCATGCACACTTGCATAGTGAATGACAAACCTGTTTTGCAAAGGAATTCCTTATCTTGGATTTCTTTAAGGTTGTACCAAAACAAAGCCCCTAAAATTCCCTCCTTTTGTTTATCTATTTATGGTTAGGTAAGTTTCATACAATGTCTTTCGTTCATGCATATTTATGTCGTGACCACAAGTACTAGATTATTTATTTTATACTTCAAAGACCCCCTCCAAAAGAGCTTTACATGAAGGTGTGGGCAAAGAAGATATAAATAATAATTCTATGGCTTTTTAGAATTTGTGCGTGTTGAAATAGTTATCGATCTTTTATCGGCCTCCAAGTATCATGTATAAAAAATAAAAGTTTGATCAAGAGGTGTTTTAATAATACAAATAATGCTGGCCAAATTTCAGTAGAAGAGAACACTAGAGGTGTATGTACTGAGCACATTCGTAAATGTTAGTGGGCACTGCAATGCTTTTTCAGCATGGTCAGTAAACACTGCCGATCAGTAGTCGAGGCTCCTGAGAACATACAAGCCAAACCATATAGCACAGCACCCAGCCCAAAATTAACACTTATTTCTTGAAGTCAACTCGAAGTGGCTCTCTCTTTCGCCAAAGGATGATGCCATATACTGAAATGACTACATCTTATACCCAAATTTACAGCAGTTGGCTGGTTTGAGCATTGTACTCTGCACAGTTACTGCAGTTGTTAGAGACACCACCATGAGACTGCAAGCATGCTTGTGATCGCACTGAAAGTAAGCCACATGTTTGAAGAAAAAAAATAATAAGTGTTCAAAGTTATGGCATGCACGTGATGCAACTTTTTTGCCCCATGCCATCTCTCCCTGCTCAGCTTCCGGCACACTTGTCAGGATGACAGAAGAAAGAAAACAGTGACAGCATGCAAAACATCTCTAAATCTCTTCATTCTTCACGAATTCTAAAAACTTTTGTGGTCATTTATTCGTGAGATAATAAACTCCTCCAGTGCAGCCATTTGATAGTTACTTAGAAAAGTCTTGCAGAGCCTTTTTACAAAGCCCCAAGTGTTTAAAATTATCCAGAGGCATCCATAGCTGGAGTCACTTTTAGACGTCCAAGCCCATTGACCAACCAACTAAGAGGCATCCATAGCTGGAGTCACTTTTAGACGTCCAAGCCCATTGACCAACCAACTAATAGGACTTTAAGCAATCTGGCGTTGAAAGATCGCCGGGACATGAATGAAGGGTACGAAATGACTAAGAAATATTAAGCATTTTATACACCAAATACTCATTTTCCTACCTCCTCCTTTCGTCGGCCGCTCTCAAATGGTACAAAAGTGCTGAAACAAAAAAAAAGAGAGGGCAGGGGGAAGTCATTACAAAAACACATCAACAGAAACACGCCATGTCCTATAACTAGCAAAACACCCCCGAACGGTACCAATGGTGAAAAGCACAGCTGATAATGACTTGTTCAGCTTAAAGAGACCGACAACGAATTTTTATGCCATTTTTTTAGCAGAACCGAAAGCTTACTGGTCAGCGAGTTTAATCAAGGAATGACATAGTGCAAAACACCATGTAACATTTGTAACCACAGTTTTTCCACCTACAGCAAATATCAAGCAATATACTCACATGCTGCAAACAGTGAGTCCAAGATTGGTTTGAGAAAGGCAAAGAAGACAACCACTTGTTTGTAGCACAAAGCCACAAGGAAATTCGTACAGACTTCTCAGAAAGAAAAGCCTCTTAGTTGTCGAAAAATTTGTCCTGGTCTGAGCTTCGAATCCAGGACCAACACCTTTCCTGGGTGGTTGCTCTTCCACTTGAGCTAATTAGGAAGCTAGCAATTGACAGTGCGAGGGTGAATACATCGACAACACGAAGAACATAGACACAAGCATTGCAAATGAGTTTTGCATAAACCTGCAGGGTGGTAGAAGGGTTAACAAAGGGAAAGAAGTCTACCACCCATTTGTAGCACAAAGCTACGAGAAAATCTGTACGGTACCAAATGGTTTTGTGCGGTACTATATGAAACCATTGAGCGTGGTCAAGTGCACATACGTGCCCTCGGCGTGCATGTGCCCCGGCTCAATTTGGCCCACTGGCGGTCACGACAGCTGTACCACTTCTTAACATGTGCGACTGCTCTCTTATGTCATAAGCAGCACAGAATTGAGCAGGGCTGGATATACATACCCTAATTTTGAGAAAAGGTGTGCATGACAGCATCAGGCCACACTACTACAAACAGGAAAGTGATCGACTCCATACTTCATAACCCAGCTTCAATTCTCTTCCGCTAGGCTGCATCGCATGACGGTTTTTGTTGCCTTTCTGTACGATTTAAAAATATAAATGCTACTGGCAATGCGAAAAAAATATTGGAATTTGTGACTGTATTTTATGGTCTTTACATTTTTGCTAGAATCTAATTGCACCTTCTGACCAGTTGTCGGTTCTGTTAAAAGCAATTGTACCGTGGCTTGCATAAGGCTAATGGAGTTCTTTATGCTGCTACCTATTTTTCATAGTATTTATTTTCAAATGCCTGTTTGGTAGCCTAAGTTTTTCTGAATTATGAAGCCATTGGGGATGCTTTCAATTTTCGTTTAGTTAGCATGCTTGGTTAACCCCTAGAGATGCTTTGTACACATGGTTGTGTGACGAGTGGCTAGAGAAAGATACAGCTTTGAATGGAGAGTGTAAATAGTGTCTCTTTATTTCATTTTACTTTGCAATACGGTCTTGCATATGATCACTTAGCTGTGTGTAAATAATTTACTTTTTCTTTTTTCCCAGTCCAATCTTGCATACGATCACTTTGCTGAAGACACCATGTTTGATGAGTCATTCGATGTGGCACATGCGCAAGCCATGCAACAGTATAATTTTTCTTTGCTCCAAATGATTATATTCATAAATAAATTTGCACATTTCTAGTAAGAAATCTTACTTTATTCATACAAAAATAGAGAGAATGACTTAGAAATATCTACTTACGACGAGTAGATATTTAATTGCAATTTAATAACAATCAATTACTATGACACACATAAATCAAAAGCCTGTGCTATCTATGTGTTTTCTTCATTTGTGTGGTCGTGATTTCGGCATGAATATTACTATTTGATTCCAACATGCACCAACTAGCCCAACAGCAGGTTCTACTAGAATTGAACAATGAATTTAATACACATTTTTCACAAGCTGCTGCATCTAGTGGCCTCACTGCTGTGAACTTGCAGAGGTGAAATTTTATTGGTTTGGCGATGTTATAACACCAGAAATGGGCACGTCAGTATTCGTAGCAGTCGCCCATGTCTTTAGACCCTTTTGACTACTGCTGTGGTTCTCAGAGCCCCTGCTTGGACACAGCAGGGAACAATGATCCTAGCTGGAGTACTTGCATTTCCCATACGGTCATCTGGCTGCCCACAAATCTTTCATGGTTTCAGCGCTTCTTTCACGTGCAAGAGTAATTTGCTCATCTGAGGGGAAGAGAATTAATGAGAACAGAAGAGAGGATCGTCACTGAGCTTTGAAAGAATACATTCACGAAAGCTTGCATCCGCGATAGTGTCATGCCGTGTATTGAAAAGGGCAACCACTATCCCACGGAACGGCACCTGTGAAAGACCCACTACCCAACCCCTCGCTCTGCATCAAAACCCCACCGAACAACAGAATTGGAGAAGTCAGCCCAGCACGTCATCATCTCATGTGTGCTGAGCATCAGTGAACAGCTCTCCGAGGTCCTAAAAACAGTGGGGTTCAGGATAATTCAAGAACCTGTTTCGATGCTTGCCCACTTGCTAACGAAGCCAATAGAGCGACCATCTAAAGGGACGTATTCTCACGAAGAAATACTCAGGGGATAAAGCTCACGACGCAAATACCCCACAAATGTCCCTGCTCACACAAGCAAGGCGAAGGGGGCAGAGATCAGTGTCACCAGACTACTCTGGTGGCCGCTTTAAGGAAATATCTCACAGGTATTCACACGGGGGATCGATTTTCGGAGAAGATGCGAAGATTGTGGATCACACTACAAAGACGTCATGGATTAAGGAGTAGGCATGACCTCCCCACACATCCTCAAGAGAGGCTGGGACTTTTTGACTGACAAGACAAGCTATCCTCCTGCGGTGGGAGATATAACAGAATACTGGGCTGGTGCTTGGCCACATTGTTGCACTTCCTCCAGCAGAAGGTGGCAGTGCACAGGTCATTTTGTCATCAGCAGCTGGTGGAACAGGCGATATATGCTACCAGAGTAGTCTGGTTTACCCCTACACTCACCTTGTTTGTGTGAGGGGGGAATATTTGTGGAAAATTCTCCTTCTACGCTGATATCTCTAGGCTCTGCCTTAATCACCCAAGGATGTCTACAATCTAGGTGTAATGTTCCGAGTGTCCAGCCAGTTTACATATAGGTGACAGAAAGGGTTTCCCGGATAAAATCTGCCAACACAATTGAAAGACATCAGCAAGATGAAAGTGCAATGCAGCACTCTTGTAGGTCACCATGTAAAGCACAACAGTAAGATTGATTTTGATAGAGCTTCAGGTGTAGAAACAGAACTGAATCTGTGAAGGAGGCTCTTGATTGCGTTTTGGCACATTTAGCAGGCACCTGCCAATGTGAACCGTTCATACAGCTTCAAGTATGAAAGCAAATGACAATTTGATATTTTTTGCCTTTGTTTATTATACCTTCATAGGCAACAAGAACATAGAGTACTAGCTAACAAAAGGAGCTGAAAACAGGATGCTAGAAATGCACTATAACTCATTTTTTATGCAACAATTCATTTCGTTTACATTGTTCCCATAAAACCATAATATAAATATTGATAGGACTGAACTTCGAAATTTTTTACTTTATTAAAAATATACTTTGATTAAACTTCCCGCGGGCAAAGTTATGATTCTTAATTGTATGCATATTTCTCCTGTTTTTTTTTTCTTCGACCACCTCAGCACGCCACAGATGTCTCAATATGCTAAAGTAGGGTTTTTACCAAGTTCAGGATTTTATTTTGCAGCCTATGTGCCATACGCAGGCCAATAAAAATTTTCAAGAAATAGTATGTCTTATGAAAAATTCTATAAAAATAATTTGAGCATTTGAGCTGTAATTGCATTTTGAAAAGAAAAAATAAGAAAAAATTTCCAATAATGCTACATTCTACTCCACTTTATCCATGCGAAACCTACTGCAAGGAACTGCCGTATAAAGAAATAAGATGCGAGAAAAATGCAAAATAACAGGTGTTGAAAGCATGTCTGGAACAGTAGATGTATAATCTGATCTTTTTTTTTTTACATGTACATACAATGTGTTGCGCTCGCCTACCACTTCACAGCCATTGAGGGGAAACAAGCGAAGATGAAAGGTAAAGATCCGACCGACCCATTAAGGGGAAACTCTTTCCTTACGCACACCATTGCGAGCCCTTCCCGCCACCGCGGCGACAATCTTGGGTGGCCCAGCACACGTCAAGAACTGGCCAGCACAGGATGAGAACCGGATGTGGACTTACACCGACATTTGGATGTGCACAGTCTGGTTTCGTGCTCAGCGTTCACAGTGTTTTGTTTCTTCTTCTTTTTGTTTGTTTCGTCAGTTCTCTCTCACTCTCGCAAACATCTTTCAAGGCGAGAGGGACGCGAAAACAAAGAAGTTTGAACGTCTATGTTAGTATAACTCATCCCCTGACGAAGGGAGGACCCCTTCTGAAACTGTTGGGAAATAAATATATTTATCCTTGTTGACAATGCTCCCGTTGTGCCATATCCCATATGTATATATATATCTGTCTGTCTGTGTCTGTGTGTGTGCGTGCGTGTGTGCACATGTGTGTGCGTGCACCTGCGTGTGTGTGTGTGATAATGAGATCTAACAGACAATGACACAAGAAAAGTATAGGGGAAGTTATTTAACCTAATTGCAATGTAAATGTGAAGAAAGAAAAGTGGATGAAAAGATAACTTGCCATGGGGAGGAACCGAACCTGCGACCTTCAAATAACACATATGATGCTCTACGAGCTGAGCTACCATGGCGGGGGGTATTTGGATAATTTGGTATTTGGGGGGGCAATTAGATGGGGGTACCCCCTATCCAATTTATTGAATATATGTGAAATAAATGTGGGAGTGTCAATCAGCGCCACCAGCAGCCATAGCGGCGAGTCTGGAACACTCTTTATCAGCCTGTTCGGAGTCTCGTATCACATGACCTTATCGCGAGCTGGACCAATAATCTCTTATATACTACCTAAAGGCACTAAGTCTGCCAGAACAAAACCCTCGTTAATGAATGAAGGAAGGAAGTTATACTTAAGGGCTTGTTTTTCTCGTTAGGCACAATATTAATGAGATCTACATTAAAATGATGTAGGGAAAGTATAGGGGAAGTTGTTAGACCTAATTGTAATGTAAATGTGGAGTAAGGAAAGTGAATAAAAAGATAACTTGACGAGGGACGGTTTGGTTCCTGCCCACGGCAGGTTATTTTTTTCATCTAAGTTTCTTTCTTCAAATTCACATGCGAAAAAACGAGCCCTTAAGTATACACTTTCTTTCTTCATTCCCTAACAAGGGTCAGATTCTGGCAGACTTGGTGCCTTTAGGTAGTATATGAGGGATTATTGGTCCAGCTCACAATAAGTTCATGTGTTACGTGATGACAAACAGGCTGATAAAGAGCGTTCCAGACTCGTTGCTGAAATTATCAGAAATAAATCTTAGTATGTATAGTGTGCTCGAATCGCCAGAGGCTATAGAAGCAGCTGAAAACTCACTGTGGCT